CTTGAAGTTGCTGATCACATTCTGGTCCATTGGCTGTATAATTGATGTAGTGTTGGGAGGCAAAAACAACACTTTGACAAAGTCAAATTGAGACTCCAAAGTGCTGGCAAGTTCAGGGTCATGACCAGGGGCATTATCCATAAGGAGAAGAGCCTTTAAAGGGAGTTTATTGGTGGTGAGGTAGTTATACACAGAAGGGCAAAACACCTCAACAGTCCTTTCATTCAAGAGCTGTCTTGGCACCCATGCCTTACGGTTGGACTTCCAATAAACTCCAAGTTGTCCTCTTACCACCTTTTGTTGCTTGAACACCCTGGGGTTCTCAGAGTGGTAGACAAGCATAGGCTTCAGTCGGAAATCCCCTGAAACAATGGCACCAAGCAATAGAGTGAGACCGTCCTTAATGGGTTTATGCCCAGGTAAAGAGGCTTCATCTCTGGTGATGAATGTCCTTTTGAGCATTTTCTTCCAGAACAGCCCAATTTCGTCCACATTGAACTCTTGCTGTGGAAGATAATTTTCTTCCTCCACCAGTTCCTTAAAGTCCACTACAAATTTTGCTGCTCTTTCTTTATCTGCACTGGCAGCCTCACCATGCCTAATAACACTGAAAATGTCACTTCTTTTCTTAAATTTTTCAAACCAGCCCTTGCTGGCCCTAAACTCTTCAAACTCTGTGCCAGAAGAACCAGGTTGCTCTTCCTTCAAATGTTCATAAACTTCCCTGGCTCTTTCACAAATAAATTCAGTCGAAATTGAATCTCCTTTCGTTTGTTTTTCCTTAATCCAAATGAGAAGTAACCTCTCTGTTTCTGCAATTAAGGATCTACCTTTAGACACTGGTAGATTTGTCTCTCACTTTCACTTCTTTGAACTTGTCTTTCTGTGCAAGAATTGTCGACACAGTTGATGCCGACATGCTATATTCTTTACTTAGCACATTTGTTCTAATGCCTTCTTCATGTTTCTTTGCGATTTCCTGTTTTACCTGGATTGAAATCGCCTTTCTAGATTTCTTTGGACCCATGCTGGATTCAATAACAATTTCAACACTAAAATTTTAATTAATTGCTGTAAATAAAGTTTATTTTATTGAATTCAACGCTGCACTGCTCTTTATATTATCAATATGTTAAATAAATTTCAGAATGACCAATAATTGTACTGTAAAAAGGGAAAAAAAATTATGTTCAAGAGAGCCACAAGCAAGATATTACCTGCACTGACCAGAGATACAAACTGACGCCTTGGTGGGTGAGTCAAGTGGCTGATGGGCACACCAAAAACTAGTTTCCTGTACTGCAATTATATTAAATAAGTGTTAAAATGGCTAAAAAATTTAATATAAAACTTGGAAAAATATTGAATAGTACAACCTTCTTAATATTTATTCAAATGGGAACGAATTTAGCCCTAGAACTGATTACTGTATTGGCGGACTAATATTCCAGCTGGTGAACAAGCGAAAACATGTTGACATGATTTCGTAAGAATTTCGTTAACCGAATTTTTGTTCGTTAACCGAATTGAAGATTCTTATGGAAGGTAATTGTTAACCTAGGGATCACTGTACAGTAAAGTACCGTATTAGAAAAACAAATACAGTGGGGTATGCTATAACGAACGAATCCTACTACGAATATTCCTATAACGAACGGTTTTACCTATAAAATTGAGAATGCTATAACGAACGAAACTCCTGCAACGAACATAATTTAATTTTTTTTTTTTTCTAATTTATTGTTTTATTATTACAAATATTAATGATATTCTTTATTTCAGGGGTTTAGATGCATATTTATGCACTTTTTTACAATTTTTACAATTTTATATTATATTTTTCAGTGTTAAGTGGTTGTATTTGGGGGCCTGGAACGGATTAATCCTATAACAAACGAATGCTATAACGAACAAGGTTCTAGAACCAATTAGATTCGTTATAGCATACCCCACTGTACAGTAGTACCCCGATTTAAGATTTACGCGCTGTCAATTGAACCCTGAACCCACAGGGTACTGTGGAAAGTGAAAACCGCGTAAAGTGAACAACAGAACATATTGGATTAATTCAAATAGAGACTGGCCCGACCCCCAAACTCCACTTTTTCCGACACAATACCTATGTTGTAGTAAGAATAACATCTAAATTTTATGATGGTATGCTCACACAATTAATATTTAAGAGAAATACAGTCGCCAGGTTAATGTCCATTCAAATAATGGACTCAAATCCCCCCCCAACTCTTCCCAGCTCACTAGCTCCTACCTCTCTGAGAAATGTTTGGGTGAAACCACTAGATTTTAACGTTTAGTAATAAATAATACCTCAGACTAAAGTTAGGATAATATAATTGACATTTCTGGATTCCTTGCAGGTCAGGGAATATTTTGAATGTAAACTTCATATATTTTGCACAAAAGATAAAATATTTGCTTTGTGGAAACCAAATTATTACATTAGATCTCAAATTTGTATGTCTAATGCAAAATCCATGATGTTTATATTCAAAATGATCATCATATTGTAAGAATTCCAGCAATGTAAATTATATTCTTGCCGGGTAATTTGTATGAATTTTATGAGCTAAAACAAATATCTTCAGTAAATAAACAAAGAAATATTCTTCAAGGACACTATCTGTCAATCAAAATACCCCACCTCCGCCCTCCCTCCCTCCCTTCCTACCCCTCCACCACCCACCTTCCCTCCCTACCAGAGAAGCAATTGGGAGAAAATAGTATATTTACATTTTTAGAAATAAATAATAACCCAGACTAAAGTTAGGATAATATAATTGACATTTCTAGATTCCTTGCAGGTCAGGGAATATTTTGAATGTAAACTTCATATATTTTGCAAAAACGATAAAAAATTTGCTTTGTGTAAACCAAATTATTACATTAGATCTAAAATTTGTATGTCTAATGCAGAATCCATGATGTTTATATTCAATATGATCATCATATTGTAAGAATTCCAGCAATGTAAATTATATTCTGGCAGGGTAATTTGTATGAATTTTATGAGCTAAATAAAAAAAAATGAAAAAAAATTATACTTCACCGCATATATGAGTAGATGCACCGCCCGCGGAAAGTGAAAGTCCAAGTCCAGTTCTGGCAAGGTACCGCATAAATGAGAAATCGCGGAAAGTGAAATTTGTAAAGCAAACCGTGTAAAGCGGGCTAATACTGTACAGTAGACCCTCGTTAATTCGGACTAATAGGGGGGGGAAGGGTGACCGTTTTAGCCGATTGTCCGAATTAACCGATTTAGGGGTTAATATTGCATTATATTTCAAAGTCATTGTTTTCGTCACGATTTTATCCCACTTTCCACTGTAATACGTACGTCATTTCAGCAAAAATATTACATTTCCGTGAATGTATTATATCAAGCACAGTATGAATAGAATATCATTGTAATATAACAGTATTTTAACCGAAAACTAGTAAAAAAACGAATAACATCTCAAGAACATCGGAAGCTTAGGTAAAGTCTTTTGTTTTCGTCATGTATTTTATCCTATTTTACATTGAAATACATCACGTTTCAGCAAAACTACTGTTTATTTCCAAGAATATATTCATTCAGGCGCAGTTTAGGTAAAATATACGTGTGATGTAACAGTTTTTTAACTGAAAACGATTCGAAAAACACGTACCCTCTAGCACTGTTCAAGGAGAGGGCTGGGAGAAGCTGTTTGGTGCTGCAGACGATGACAAGGAAAATGATTTGGATGGATTTTAATGAAAATATTCAGAAATATGGTATCGTACTATTTATTCAAGTCAATTAGGATAGAATATTATTGTAATACAACAGTTTTTTAACTGAAAACCAATCGAAAAGCGATTACGGTATTATCTTTTGAACGAAAGAAAGCGAAAGTCATTGTTTTCGTCACGATTTTATCCCACTTTCCACTGTGATACGTACGTCATTTCAGCAAAAATATTACATTTCCGTGAATGCATTATATCAAGCACAGTATGAATAGAATACCATTGTAATATACGCGTAACAGTATTTTAACCAAAAACTATTATAAAAAACGAGTAACTTCTCTTGAACATCGGAAGGTTAGGTAAAATCTTTTGTTTTTGTCATATATTTTATCCTATTTTACATTAAAATACATCACGTTTCAGCAAAACTACTATTTATTTCCGAAAATATATTCATTCAGGCACAGTTAAGGTAAAATATACATGTGCTGTAACAGTTTTTTAACTGGAAACGATTCGAAAAACACGTGTACCGTCTAGCTGATACTCAACAGCTGGTGGTGCGTCATGCGTCGTTGTAAACAATAGGAGGTTGAAGTAGATTTCCGGGTATTATATTAAGTGTGAAATATCAAAAAGGTTTTTATTACCGGTATTTTCTGTAGATTAATGAGAACTGTGATACCGTATATGATATGATAAGTTAGCCTGTGCTAAGAACTTCAACATAGACTACTGAAAACACGTTGTAAGGTAATTTAGCCTATTGTAAGTTGGTGAGCTTCATTTGCTGAAGAAACTGCACAACTTTTCATTACTAATTGGTACATATTTTACGTTTCCATTGTTTACTGGCAGTAAATGGTAAATATTTTTCATGTCTGAAGCTAAAAGTTGCATCCCCCCCCCACACTAGTGGTGGAGATGTTACATTTAACCAAAAAGACGCTGGTGTTTTATCCCAGCAGTGGGTGGACCAGCATTTTAGCTTAAGGTCCGCATAGGTAATATTCTTAAAAAAAGTTCGTTCAGATTTTGTCCAAATTAACGAGGGTCAACTGTATATGTATTTCATGAGTAGTGTCCCCTAAAAGGTAGTTTGGGATGTTTTCCTTGAAATAAATATTATACAGTCCTAAGTTTCTCTTTTTGTTTTAAGACAGCTATTAATGTCACATACACTTACAGTATTCTGGAACATTATTATTTTTACAAATATCTTGAATAACATAATTAAATTACAGCTTGTCTTATTCAAAATTTCTTTACAGGATCAGTCATGGGGACATGCTAAAGCACTTGGCAAAGCCAAAGCTTTCATAAGGCAGAAGAATGTGGAACAACAAAAGGTAATGCCGAATGTGACTTTAGAAGAGAGGTACAAAAATCTCAGACTCACAGATGTCTGGGATTAAGAATAAAAATTTATAAATTATTACAAATGTAAATTAGTAAATATATATACAATGTCATATGATACAGTACAGCATACTGTATAAATTTAGCATAATTTGTCTCATTACCCTCTAATTTTATTACTGTACTTATAAGGTTCTGCTGAGATTGAATTGATTGGAAATTTTGCTATAAATACCAGTGGGTGTTTTTGTTTTTTAGAGTAATGTATCTCATTTTCTCATTTTAAAAGGACCTAGGAAAGTGTACAGTCGGCCACAAGAATAAGTATACACCTAAGGTTCGTGTTTGAGACAAAATATCGAGTAACACTGTCCTGAACAGAACAGACAAAATTACAAAATGACCTGTAATTTATGTTTTATTCCTACATATATGTTATAAATACATTTGTTGTGAATGTTTTACTTGTGTCTTGTGTTTATATTACAAGGAATATATTGTATCCAATGGTAGTAAACTTGTTGCCGAATGGGATTGCAGTTATCGTACAGCTCCCTCCTCCTCTCCCACTTTTTCTCTAACCATACTTTTTTTTTACTGATGTTTGGATTACTTAGTAGGAAGAGGAGTAAATAGAATAATAAAGAAGGGGCAACAGAAAATAGTTAGAGATAACAGGTGGGGGGAGCTGAGTTTCATCATGCAACTGGATGTGCAGTTTCAACGTTACCAGACCATTTTCAGACCTTACAGCTACAGTGTGTATTCTTATTCCTGTGGCCGACTGTACCCAAAAGTAATTTGAATTATATCAATTGGTGCATAGCACTTCAGGGGATGAGAGATTTCCGGCTAACCAGATGGCTTTCTCAAACTCGGAAAAATTCCTTATCCCCGGAATCTTTTCCGGCTACTGGGAAAAGTTTGCTAGTATCTAAACTAGACATCTTGCACACACAGACATTACCCCACTTCCCCAGAATGTTTCTGGGTGTTGGGGATGTTTTCCTCGAGTCTAAACTACCGGAGTCCATAAATGCAGTTCTAATCAAGTTAGAAACTGCATTTTTTTACTATAATAATCCAGAATAGTTTATCTAAAAGTTTGGTAAAATGAATATATTTGAAAACTAAAAATCTATATGATATGGGCGTGAATGAAACTGTGTTACAGCAAAGACTGGTATTTTTCACCCCCATGGAGCTGTGGGGGATTAGTGGGTCTCATGTACCTGACCATGTAAGGGCGGCAGATTCTACTGCTGAGCCACCAAGGCCACCCTTAAGGGCGGCGATTTTCTACTCTCCCTTATATTCTTAATACATACTTCTTTCTGTCTTATTTCCTTCAATTGTTCTTTCTACTTATTTCAGTTCATGGTTACTTCATAATCTCAGTTCTTTTGGTAGCATGGCGAGGGTCTAGGGCACATGGGCACTGTAATTCTGGTATCAAGTCACTTGGACGGAAATAAAGGTGAAATACTGCGGGAAAGGAATACCCCTAATGTACTCTAAGAAATGGTTTATTAACATGAAATTAAAGTAGGGAAAAAGATGTCATTAACATACAACTACGAGGCTCAACACTTGGCTTAACTCAACTGCAATTCACTTAGATACTGTGCTCTTCTTACAACATTACTGGATGGTACACTACATTAACACACAGCTACAAGGATCAACTCCTTGGCTTTTACTTATCTGCAGTTCCAAGTGGGTACTTTTACTTCTCACACATTACTGGTGATACATTACATTGCATACAGTTACCAGGATCAACTGCTTTACTCACATTACATACAGCTACATGACAAACTTACATATAGTATTTCACTATAACTGTTGGTATTGCATATGAAATGCACTCACAACACACAACACTTTATTACTGATACAAACAAGTTTACATGGGTTCACTACCCAACATGGGATAATTATATTCCAGATAATTATCCCCAAACCATATACAACAAACACTGTCGACCATATAACTGTACGGCGTGTCCCAGGGTAGGACACTGGCGTCTCACAACTGACGACCGCTGTTATGATCGGTGGTAGTCGAACACGTGGCGAGAGTCTGGGGTCGAGCCCCCACGATGCAGACTTGCAGTTTTAATCATGTCAAATCAGCGACATTGGCCACTACCGCTAACTGTTAGGTATCCACCGACTCCGGGCAGTCGGTGGGGTGTTCAAATAACCCACACACTGGATCTGAGAATAATTGTAGACGTCAAGAGGGAGGAATGATGATGACTCAATAACAAACAATCTTTCGTCTAGCAACGTCAGACGACATTTACTTTTTATTAATTCTCACACTGGGTAAATGACAATTCCACTGTTACAACATGAACACTGATACTCACAAAATTGACTAAGTCAAACTGAACGGCTATATCAGCGGGGAACACTCGCTAACATATCTGAGAGCAAAGTTGTAGACGTCAAGAGTGAGGCTTGATCCTCCGTCCCGCCCGGGTTTATGTACCCGTGAGTTGCTTGAGGTGGCTACTCACGCAATGACAAAAATTACATACAAACCAACTGCTACACATTCAAAGATGACCCTTAGTTGACAAGGGTCTGGCAAATTACTTAAGTTGATTTACATAAACTAACTCAAGATTGAGCTTGCCAGTAGAAAGTGGAAATATACATATTGACAACTGTGTTCGAATGGCGGTGTAAAACACGTTTCTTCCTAGGGATACCTAACCAGTATCCACATGTTTTGCGGGCGTGAAGTATAATAAGAATCAAGTTCTAAAACAGACCAACCGTCAATGTGACCATGACAACCTGACGCAATGTCAGGTGAAGGTAGGGTGTGGGATTAGTGGTCTCATATTACGGACCTTCTGATGGAATGTCAGGTCACCCTTTCTCGACCGGGGTATTAGTGGGTCTCATGACCTGAAGATTAGGGTGTGACCGTTGCCCTCCAAAAATAAAAAAATGGTCCTACAATGCTGTTCAAAGTTTTTGTGTTGTGTATTTATCTAGGAAACACCCCTGTAAATTTTCTTGGAGATTGGTGCATGTTTGAGCTAGCACCATCGGCTTTACAAAATAACAAGGAATATTATTATCTAATGAACAAATTTAGTGGAATTTCTTTTATTAGACTTATAAGATATACTAACACCAAGCAAATGATCGATCATATCAATCTTAATACCCCTAAAACAATATTATAGATTAGTACGAAATACAATAATCCCAATAATTGCATTTCTAGGTTCAAGACCCATTTCTCTCAACTGGTGTACAATGAAAAAAGAAATACTACTACCCCGCAATGCCTGGAGTGTTTGAAGAGCGCCAGCAGGAGATGGCTGACTTTTTCCGTGAACCTCTAGCCCAACCATTTACACGTGGCGACTACAAGGAGCTGGTAGAGCTTTGTCTGCTGCTTGTAACTAAAGGATCCGAGCCAGTGAACTTCACGATGGTCTACCCCGGCGCACTTCACAAAGCAAGGTGGATGGCTAAACTTCTCTATACCCTCAAGATTGTTCTTTTGTCAGGCCAGATCAAGGAGCAGTTTCCCAAAGCCGAGGTTGTGACTAAAAGTCAAATCAGCAAGGTAGAACGGTTTGCTGTGTTCACAGTCGCTGTTTATGTCCCATGGTGGATTGTTTGCCCCGTCCCAGCAAGTTCGCCACTGAATGACTTGAATTTGGTCGAAACCTTGGCTGAATTTGCCCCATATGACGCCACAATAGTTGACAAATCACGTGTGGCACTCGGTAGACACACTTGGTACCTAACTGAGGAGTTGGCCCCACTGGCTTTGTTCTCGTCCCAAGTACAAGAAAGGACAAAAGAGGAGATGAGGAAGGCCCTTCTTTGCCATGAAGGCACTGAAGTTACTAAGAGAGTGGGGCTCAATCATGGGGGCTATGGAAAGCCATATCTTCCCCCTGTCCCAGAAAGTGGCACTGCCCTGGTGGACCTAATTGGGCCTGACTCAAGCCGTTCTTCACCATTTTAGGCATGCCCTATCAGTTTCTCCACAGTCCAGCCAGTGAATGGGCGGATCATGACGACTACCTGAACATGAAACGGGTTGTGGACAAGCTTCAGGTCATCAATGAGGCTGCAGAGATCGGTGTAAAACTTTGCCATGACTTTCCTAATGTTGCCAGGGATGAGGAGCGCTTTCAAGAAGTCCTTCAAGTATTTGAAAATGACAGACTCCGCGTTCCTAATCAGCGCAAACGATCATCTGTTTCCAAACAGAAATCATGGTTTCTTGCTCTAGAGAAGTAATACCTTGTGAATATATGATAAAACCCCTAAATGTACCATGAGAGAATATGAATGATTAACTTTTTTGTGTTAGTGATAACAGCTTTTAATTAAGACAGGCAAATGATTTGTGTTAATATCCCTTATGATGGTTGTGTAATCTCATATATAGGCTCGTATGCCGTATAAGCAAAATCGCTATTTTTCAAATTGTTGGTGCTCACTCAAATATGCATGAATCTTCAAAAAATTGCACGTGGATATTTTTTATGTCAATATGCAACACCAAAATTTTGAACAGCATTGTAGGACAAAGTTGGGGCAACTGTCACACCCTACTGAAGATGTCTTGAATAAACACGAAACCTAAAATATTTTTAGAGAGATTGTGATAAGTATAAGTATAAATAAGCAAAGTTGTATCTTTTCAACAGTACATTACATAACATTTTAAAATATGGAGTGAGAAAGCAGAAAGGTGTGAGTGATTAGAGAGATGGAGTGGAAATGAGTGTTACCAAGCACTCCTCAACAGCTGATATTTAAATCGCAGTCACATAATAAGACCCTTTCTCCTTATGTTTGCTGTCTTAATTCCCTTGTTAGGGATATGTAAGTGGTGTTGGAGTGCGTGTGGGTGTGTGTGATGGTGTGTAATGTTTGGCTGAAGAGTGTGCGAGTCGAACCATTTTGGGAGGGAGGGTGACCCCCCCCTTGCTCACTCAAGCTATGGCTAATTATGATGGGGAAATGAATTTGATACCATAATGATCCTTAATAATTTCTTTACGAAGCATTTCCAATAAGATATCCTTAAACGAAATATTTCTATTTGATATAGTGATGGGAATTCCATTCTCTTATAAAAAAACGTAAGAAATTTTGA